CTGTGAGATCCGTTCTTGTTCCACTGCATCTTAGTTCTTGTTTTTAACAGTCCGTCTGCTTCTCAACTGGGCACTCAGCTCTGGGATGGCCTCAGCGTCATCTAATGCTGCCCTCTGAAGCCTGTGCCTGTAGTACCTACCCAGTCCTTTCCCCAGGCTCAGAGACAGTCCCTGTTCAGGCTGAGGCACTCTAAGCTGTCTGAGCTTTCTGGGGAGCATCAGAGTAACACAAAAACTGGATGAGGCTGGGCGCGGTGGCTCACACCTGTAATCCCAGCACTTTGGGAGGCTGAGGCGGGTAGATCACGTGGGATCAGGAGTTCAAGACCAGCCTGGCCAACATTTCAAAACCTCATCTCTACTAAAAAATACAAAAATTAGCTGGGCATGGTGGCAGGCGACAGTAATCCCAGCTACTTGGGAGGCTGAGGCACAAGAATTGCTTGAACCCTGGAGTCAGAGGTTGCAGTGAACCAAGATCGTACCACTGCACTCCAGCCTGGACAACAGAGCAAGACTTTTGTCTCAAAAATCAAAAATAAATAAAACTGTGGATGACAAAAGACTGCACATGGATGGCCATAGTTAACTCACCACTGCCACTTTTCAAAAGTAAAAGGTCTGGCCTGAGCGTAGGGACCCACTACCTGTCATACCAGCACTTTAGGAGGCAAAGGCAGGCAGACCCCGAGGTCAGGAGTTCGAGACCAGCCTGGCCAACATAGTGAAAGCCTGTCTCTACTAAAAATACAAAAAAATTAGCCAGGCATGGTGGCGGATGCCTGTAATCCCAGCTACTCGGGAGGCTGCAGCAGGAGAATCATTTGAACCCAGGAGGTGGAGGTTGCAGTCAGCCAAAATGGTAGCACTGCAGTCCAGCCAGGCAACAGTGTAAGACTCCATCTAAAAAAAAGTGAAAAGTCTCTTCACAGCAAGAATAACATAACTGAGAAGTAACATTTGATTGTCCTGTAGACATCTGGAAACAGAGTCCGAAAAAGAGCTCTAGACAAAGTTAATCCAAGACGCTCATGCTATTTTCAAAGATACTCGGAAACAGAACATCTGATTGCTAACAATGGATGAGCAGCATTTTTACAGAAGAAATTATTTACAGATAATTGTGAAGCTGACTATTCCATAACTATACCAAGAATATCCAGTGGAGAGGCAAAAGGTGTGGGGCAGGTGGTGGCCGCCTTCCAGTAGCACAGCCCCAGAGTGAGTGACATTCACCCAGCTGCACGCTCTACATCAGAAACGCACAAGTCACATTAAAGTAAGGTGACGCCCAAGTTATGTCACGACGGTCACGGGACTTACGCCTGAGAGCTCTGTGCTGCTGCCAGCTGCCAGCATCACGCAGACGGCTTCAGGACTCATGAAGAGAAGCGCCATGGGCAGCCGAGATGTCTCCGCACGGCACAGTGCACAGTCCCTCCGGGCCTCGGGCGGACGCCTACCTCGACGCACGCAGCCCAGGCGGGCCGAACATCTCCCCTGACGTGGCAGTTCTTCCCTTGGTATTCATCAAGCCTAACACGTCAGATAAACCTAGTCATTTCTTCAGAATTGTTTTCTTTCCCCTTTTTCTATTTTAATAGAAACCAAGTCTCACTCTGTCACGCAGGCTGGAGGCACAGCTCACTGCAGCCTCGATCTCCTTAGCTCAAGAGCGCCTCCTGCCTCAGCCTCCCAAGTAGCTGGGACCACAGGTGCATGCCACCACACCCCAGCTCGCACCTAGTTATTTCAAATACCTCTCTTTTTATAGGAATTTTGTGTGTGTGTGATTTTCCAGGAAACTTCTGTGACATCTCATAGATCATTTTAAATATAAAAGATCTTCTCAAAAAAAACAAAGAAAAAAAAAGATCTTCTGAAAACTTTATTTTATTTGACATTTAGAATTCAATTTTCATAAGGAAAAAAATTAAAAGATGCCAGGAGATTTGAACACTAAGATAGATTCATGGGTACCTGAGAAATAATATTTAGCTACCCATGTGAAAGTAACGATAAAACGCTTAAACGTTGAAGAGAACAGTTGTAGAGAATCTCAGCTCTTTCATAAGCATGGGAAGCTGTTTTCTTCAATCATCAAGACATGATAAGTCAACAGAAAGCATGGAAAATTACGCTGATAAGACAGCACCTTTGCTGTCTGGACAGATTACATAGAAAGTGAAGAATAACCCTTCATATTTTCGGGGAAGTCAGTAAATAGTAGACGAAGGCAGGCTGGGCGCAGCGGCTCATGCCTGTAACCTCAGCACTTTGGGAGGCTGAGGTGGGCAGATCACTTGAGGCCTGCAGGGGTTCGAGACCAGCCTGGCCAACATGGTGAAACTTCTTGTCTACTAAAAATACAAAAATTAGCCAGGCATGGTGGCAGGTGCCTATAATCCTAGCTACTCAAGAGGGTGAGGAGGGAGAATTGCTTGAACCTGGGAAGTAGAGGTTGCAGTGAGCCAAGATCACACCACTGCACTCCAGCCTGGATAACAGAGTGAGACCCCATCTGAAAACAAAACAAAACAAAACAAAACAAAGTAAGACAAGGAAATAAGCCCATCAAAATAGAGCCAGCTCCACGAAGATTTTAACACATTTCATAGCTTTTTTAAAAACTAGCTTTTCTTTAAAGCTCATGTGTTTTCAGGAAAAGAAAAAAAGAAAGAAAAGAAAAACTAGCTTTCTTTCAACCAAGCAAGGATTGAGAAAACAAAAAACAGCACCCAGCTTTCAGCTGGATGTGGTGGCTCATGCCTATAATGCCAGCCCTTTGGGAGGCCAAGGCAGGAGGATCACTTGAGGCTAGGTGCTTGAGACCAACCTGGGCAGCATAGTGAGACCCTTGTCTCTATCAAAAAAATAAGAACATTAGCCGGGTGTGGTCCCAGCTGCTCGGGAGGCTGAGGTGGGAGGATCGCTTGAGCCCACAGAGTCGAGACTGCAGTGAGCTGTGACCGCACCACTGCACTCCAGCCTGGGTGACAGAAAGACGCTGACTCAAAAACAAACTTTTATTTTTTTGAGATGGGATCTCACAGTGCACTAAGAATGTTGTGCAGCCATCGTCATTTGTTCAGAATTCCTTTCCTGCCTCAGAGGAAACCCCCCAGTTATGTGCAGTCCCCCCACCCCCGCCCGGCACCCGCCTTCTGCCTCACGCGTTTGCCTGTTCTGGACGTTTGGTTTCAGCAGGATCGTACGGTATTTGTCCTTCTGTGCCTGGCTGCTTTCACTTGTATCATCTTTCAAGGTCTGTCGTGTTGGGGCGCCCCGGCTTTGTTCCTTTTCGTGGGAAGAGTTCCTTGGTGGGGGTGGGGTGGGCGGGGGAAGGCGGAGGCGGGAGGCGCAGGCCACGCGTATGCGTTTGTCAGTTTGAGGACGTTTGGATGGTTTCAGCCTTTGGGCTGTCGTGAATAATGTTGCTGTAAACATTCAGATTTTCGTTTGAACACCTGTGTTCTCCTGGGTGCCTCCCTAGCAGTGGCCTTGCTGGGTCATGTGGTAATTCTGTCTAACCTGGTGAGGAGCCAACACACCGCCTCCCATGGCGGTGACACTTTCCACACCCACCAGCTGTGCGTGAAGGTCTCTCCGTGTCTGCACCAGCACTTGCTATTTTCTGTTTATTATTATTATTATTATTATTATTATTAAGAATACTTTTATTAGGCCAGGCACGTGGCTCACGCCTGTAATCCCAGCACTTTGGGAGGCTGAGGCAGGTGGATCATGAGGTCAGGAGATCGAGACCATCCTGGTCAACATGGTGAAACCCCGTCTCTACTAAAAATACAAAAATTGGCCGGGCGTGGTGGCTCATGCCTGTAATCCAAGCACTTTGGAGGCCAAGGTGGGCAGATCAGCTGAGGTCAGGAGTTCAAGACCAGCCTGATCAACATGGTGAAACCCCGTCTTAAAAAAAATAAAAATACAAATACAAAAATCAGCTGGGCATGGTGGCACGTGCCTGTAATCCCAGCTACTCAGGAGGCTGAGGCAGGAGAATTGCCTGAACCCAGGAGGCGGAGGTTGCGGTGAGCCGAGATCGCACCATTGCACTCCAGCCTGGGTAACAAGAGCGAAACTCCATCTCAGAAAAAAAAATTTTCTGTTTCAATTTCCAGTATGTGAAATATCAACAGTTATAAACGCCCTCCAAAAACCTTGTTGGAATCCTCAATGAGTTTGGTTAACCAAACTGATGGGTTCTTCTGGGAAACGTTATTTCAGTAATTGTCTTCCGATGAGTGTTTAGAGGAGCAAATCTTAGGTAACGTCACCCAAATGGAATTGATGAAAGAGCCTTGTGTGATGCGGGGTCATTTCTAAGTAAGCTCACACGCCGAAGCTTTGAGTGGAACCCTCAGTTTTAATTGGTATACTTAAGCTTTTGCTTTTTTTGGTTTGTTTGTTTGCTTTTTGAGATAGTCACCCAGGCTGGAGTGCAGTGGTGCGATCTCAGCTCACTGCAACCCCTGCCTCTCGGGTTCAAGTAATTCTCCTGCCTCAGCCTCCCAAGTACCTGGGATTATAGGTGCACTCCACCACGCCCAGCTAAGTTTTATATTTTTAGTAGAGACAGGATTTCACCATGTTGGCCAGGCTGATCTTGAACTCCTGAACTCCCAGAGCGCTGGGATTACAGACGTGCGCCACCGTGCCTGGCAAACTTTTGTTTCTTATGTGTGCCTGCCACAGAAGGGGCATCTCTGTGCATCTGTCATGGAATGTGCTCGCTGCCGCTGCTGTGAGGAAGACAAGGGCTGCGTGTGGCAGGGGCATGGCACTGCGTGTGCAAGAACTCTCCCAGAGTGCTGCGTGTCACAGTTCAGTGCTGTCCGCCCTCCCCATGTTACCTATGAAATGGAAGTTACTTTGGTTTCAAAAAGGAACATGCTGTTCTTTCTGAGTATTTGCCCTCAGCACATGAGAAACCCAGAAGTGCTGTCCGCAGAGAACAAGCCCTGTCCCCATCGCATTCCCAGGGCGGCGGCTGCACCGCACCCTCTTCCCTGCCCCCGAGGTCCGGAAGCCAGGCGAGGAGCCCAGGAAGCCTCTGGATCATGGCCCCCCTTTGGGACAGGTGCCGCCTCGTTTTACAGCTCAGGTAACACCCCTTCAGCTAAGAAATGCATTTAAAAAAATATTTCCCTAATTGTGTTGTGTTTTAATTACATAAACTTCAAAATACAATAAACACAATATGAGAAGTCACCAATTTTCAGCATCCAAACATAGTTATCAGTAACATTTCAATGTGTTTTCTGCTGGTTTGGTTTGGTTTTGTTGACGAAGTCTTGCTCTGTTGCCCAGACTGGAGTGCAGTGGTACGATCTCGGCTCACTGCAACCTTGGCCTCCTGGGTTAAAGCAATTCTCCTGTCTCAGCCTCCCAAGTAGCTGGGATTATAGGAATGTGCCACCACACCTGGCTAATTTTTGTTGTATTTCTAGTAGAGGCGGGGGTTACCATGTTGGGTAGGCTGGCCTCAAACTCCTGAACTCAAGTGATCTGCCTGCCTCGGCCTCCCAAAGTGCTGGGATTACAGGTGTGAGCCACCGCACCCAGCCTCTGCTGTTTTTTTGTTTTTTGTTTGTGTTCTGACACAGAGTTTTGAAAAGTCAGGCAGCGTTTATAGACTGTGGATCTGTCTGGTGTTGCAGCCTTGAGAAATTCAGCTTCTGCACTCATTTTGGGATTTTCTACGCAGCTTCAATGAGTTGTCTGTTCCTGAACTGGCACTATACTTTCAATACCGTGGCTCTGTGACATATTTTCATATCTGTTAGAGCAAGCTTGACCTTGTATCTGTTCCTTTACAAAATTTTCTGGCTGTTCTTTCTTATTTGTTTATTTGTTGAGATGGAATCTTGCTCTGTCACCCATGACTGGAGTGCAGTGGCACAATCTCAGCTCACTGCAACCTCTACCTCCCAGGTTCAAGTGAATTCTCCTGCCTCAGCCTCCCGAGTAGCTGGGATTACAGGTGCCCGCCACCACTCCTGGCTAATTTTTGCATTTTTAGTAGAGACGGGGTTTCCCCATGTAGGCCAGGCTGGCCTCGAACTCCTCATCTCAAGTGATCTGCCTGCCTTGGCCTCCCAAAGTACTGGGATTATAGGCATGAGCCACTGCACCCAGCCCCTCATTAGTTCCATATTGGATTTATTTGAAAATCCACATAAGTCACCTCCAACTGTAGATGCCTTTCTGCACATGTACTTCATGTTACGTTTTGGCTTAGATCCATGTTGACAATGTAGCTTTAGTTCAGCCTTTGGCACACTTTCTCATAAAGAGCCAGAGACACCTGGGCAACATAGCAAGACCCTTTCTCTGCAAAAAAATTACGGCTAGGTGCGGTGGCTCACACTTGTAATCCCGGCACTTTGGGAGGCCAAGGCAGGTGAATCACGAGGTCAGAAGATGGAGACCATCCTGGACAACATGGTGAAACCCTGTCTCTACTAAAATACAAAAAATTAGCTGGGCGTGGAAGCAGACTCCTATAGTCCTAGCTACTCGGGAGGCTGAGGCAGGGGAATCGCTTGCACCCAGGAGGCGGAGGTTGCAATGAGCTGAGATTGCACCACTGCACTCCAGCCTGACGACAGAGCAAAACCCTGTCTCAAAAAAAATAATTTAAAAATTAGGCCGGGTGCAGGGGCTCATGCCTGTACAATCTCCACATTTTGGGAGGCTGAGGCGGGTGGATCATGAGGTCAGGAAATGGAGGCCATCCTGGCCAACATGGTGAAATCCTGTCTACAAAACTACAAAAAAATTAGCCAGGCATGGTGGCGTGTGCCTGTAATCCCAGCTACTCAGGTGGTTGAGGCAGGGGAATTGCTTGAACCCGGGAGGCAGAGGCTGCAGTGAGTTGAGATCGTGCCACTGCACTCCAGCCTGACGACAGAGCAAAAGTCTGCCGCAAAAAAAAAAAAAAAAAAAATTACAAAATTAGCCAAGTGTGGTGTGTGCCTATAGTTTCAGCTCCAGGGGAGGATGAGGTGGGAGGATCTTTTGAGCCCAGGAGTTCGAGGCTATAGTGAGCTGCTGTGGCACCACCACACTCCAGCCTGGGTGATAGAGGAAGATCCTGTCTCAAATATATAAAATGTAAAACAAAGGCTGGTTGTGGTGGCCCACACCATAATCTTAGCACTTTGGGAGGCCAAGGCAGGTAGATCACTGGAGGTCAGGAGTTCAAGACCAGCCTGGCCAACACGGTGAAACCCCATCTCTACTAAAGTACAAAAATCAGCCAGGTGTGGTGGCGTGTGCCTGTAGTCCCAGCTGCTCAGGAGGCTGAGGGAGGAGAATCGCTTGAACCTGGCAGGGGAAGCTGCAGTGAGCCGAGATCGCACCACTGCACTCCAGCCTGGCAACAGAGCAAGACTCCATTAAAAAAAAAGTGAAAAGCTATTTTTAGCTCATAGGCTGTACATAAAAAGGTGCTTGGCTGGATATGGCAGGACCGTTGGCTGACATCTGCTTTAATCACACTTGATAGATCTGCCTGTTCTGCATTGTGCACGTTCCTGTCTAGACCTTGGCTTCTCCAGGTGACTAACCACTTTATTAAACCTGATTAACCCTGTCAGACTACGGAAGTGTCATATGTTCATTACATCTCATGAAATAGCTCTTGTTTTGGAGACAGTCTCGCTCCGTTACCCAGGCTGGAGTACAGTGGTGTGATCTCAGCTCACTGCAACCTCTGCTCCAGGGCTCAAGCGATTCTTCGACCTCAGCCTCCCAGGTAGTTGGAATTACAGGCACCCACGACCACACCCACCCAGGCTGGTCTGGAACTCCTGACCTCAGGTGATCTGCCCACCTCTGCCTCCCAAAGTGCTGGGATTACAGGCTTGAGCCATTTTCCCCAGCCTTATTTTTTGAATTTTTTGTAGCGATAGGATTTTGCCATGTTGCCCAGGCAAGCTTTGAATTCCTGACCTCAAGTGATCCACCTGCCTCAGCCTCCCAAAGTCCTGGGATTACAGGCCTGAGCCACCACACCTGGCCCACATTTTTTTGGAGTCACCTCACCTGGCCAATTTATTTTTCTTTTTAAAAAATGTGGGCTAGGTGCAGTGGCTCACGCCGGTAATCCCAGCACTTCGTCAGGCCAAGGTGGGTGGATCACCTGAGATCAGGAGTTCAAGAGCAGCCTGGCTAATATGGTGAAACCTCATCTCTACTAAAAATACAAGAAATTAGCTGGGCATGGTGACACGCACCTGTAATCCCAGCTACTTAGGAGACTGAGGCAGGAGAATCTCTTGAACCTGGGAAGTGGAGGTTGCAGTGAGCCAAGATCACGCCATTGTACTCCAGCTTGAGCAACAAGAGTGAAACTTTGTCTCAAAGAACAGCAAATGTTTTGAGACAGGGTCTCTCTCTGCCACTCAGGCTGGAGTGCCATCACAGCTTACTGCAGCCTCAACCTCCCTGGCTCATATTACCCTCTCACCTCAGCCTCCCTGGTAGCTGGGACCACAGGTGTGTGCCACCACACTTGTCCAATTTTATTTGGTTTTTTTTTGAGACGGAGTCTCGCTCTGTCACCCAGATTGGAATGCAATGGCAGGATCTCGGCTCACTGCAACCTCCACCTCCCAGGTTCAAGGAATTCTCCTGCCTCAGCCTCCTGAGCAGCTGGGACTACAGGCGTGTGCCACCACACGCAGCTAATTTTTGTATTTTTAGTAGAGATGGGATTTCACCATATTGGCCAGGCTGGTCTGGAACTCTTGACCTTGTGATCCACCCACCTCGGCCTCCCAAGGTGCTGGGATTACAGGTGTGAGCCACCGTGCCCGGCACTTGTCTAATTTTAAAAAAATCTTTTGTACAGATAGGGGTTTCACTGTGTTGCCCAGGCTGATACTGAACTCCTGGACTCAAGGGGTTCTTCCACCTCAGCCTTCCAAAGTGCTGGGATTGCAGGTGTGAGCTACTGTGCCCAACCTAATTTTTTATTGATTTATTTTTTTGAGACAGAGTCTTGCTCTGTTGTCAGGGCTGGAGTGCAGTAGTGTGATCCAGGCTCACTGTAGCCTAGAACACTGGGCTCAAGTGCCTCAGCTTCCCAAGGGGTTCCTCTTTATTTCTAATCCTAAATGGTGCCATGTGAGAAGAAATAGGAAACAAATACGGAAAAGGACTCCATGGGCTCAGTGGCTCACGCCTGTCATCCCAGCCCTTTGGGAGGCTGAGACGGGCAGATCATGAGGTCAGGAGTTCAAGACCAGCCTGGCCACCATGGTGAAACCCTGTCTCTACTAAAAATACAAAAATTACCCGGGCATGGTGGCAGGTGCCTGTAATCCCAGCTACTCAAGAGGCTGAGGCAGGAGAATTGCTTGAACCCCGGTGGGTAGAGATTGCAGTGAGCCAAGACTATGCCACTGTGCTCCAGCCTGGGCGACAGAGCAAGACGCCGTCTCAAAAAAAAAAAAAAAAAAAAAAAAAAAAGACAAATAACCCTGTGAAAGCAGGCAAAGAGTCTGACAAGAAAGCACCAGGACGAAGCCCTGGGGGCAGCGAGCATCAGGCAGTGCCCTGTTCACTGGCACCAGGGACCTTAAACAGACCTCAGGCCTGTACGTTCCTTGGTAAACAGGCAAACATCGGTGACCATGGGTGGAGCTGAGCTCTGTGCTCATGGTATGCTGGGAAGGGGCAGAGCTGGTTCCATGGCCTCCTGAGGGCCACCCACTGCCCAGGGCTCCGTCCAGTCGCGCTGCTTTGAATGTTCCTTTCTGTTTTCTTCCACGTTTCCTTTCTGTGTTCTTAGGCACTGCTCCCTCGCTTCCCTTTTGGCTTCCTCCAGGAGGAGGGAGGCATCAGGCGTGGGGCAGGCAGAGGTACCAGTAATGGGCTGAAGAAGCAGGATCAGCCAGCTGTCGGCACTGGGAACCACTCATGCCACCCTGGGCTGGGGGCCTTCACCCCAGGCAGGCCACGCGAAGGCTGCCCTGGCCTTGCTGAGGGGGCTCCTGGGAATGAGTGATCGGGGAAGCCTGCTCCACTCCTCCTGTCTGGGGAACAGGTCCCTTCAGTCTGGGTTGTGACCAGATGACATGAGTCTTTAATACCAGAAATGTGGGAAGCCATTTCTTTCCAGTCTCGTGGGAAAACTCACTGACACTCAGCATCAGTGACGTGAATGCTGGAGTCCTCTCATTTAACTCCCCACGGCAGGAGGCCAAGAGTGCGGAGGGTGAGCGTCCTTCCAGACACCCGGGGAAGCAGCGGCCCGGCTCGGCACAGGTGGGCGGCCGACACGACGCCCTGCGAGGCCGGAAGGTGAGAACAGCGGTGCCCGTCTAGGTGTGGCGCCGTGGGGATGGGGAGTGGCCGGCAGGGAAGCCGGGGCCTGGGCGCTCTGGGCCTCTCGGAGGGGCCTTCACTCTGCACGGCTGCCTTTGCGTTGTTACCAGGGGCTGCTCACAATGGCCAGGTGAGCTGCAGAGCACTTGCTGGGTGGTCCCACGAGGGTGGTAAGGGTGTTGGGAGGCCCCGGGGCCCCTAAAGCACATGGGGCCCGTGCTGGCCCTTTCCTTCTGTGCCCCTCAGTACATCTGCCCTGCATTTCAGCCCCTCCGCATCGCAGCTGGGTGGCCTCTGCTCTAGACTTGTGTTGTCTAAGTGTTCAGACAGGCACTGAGATTTAGGCACTGCCCACACCCGGCGTTCCCAGCGCTGGGACTCACTCCGGATGCACCGCTGTCTGCAGCTGCCTCTCCTGGGTGGTCCTGGGAGCGTCTGCCTGGGCCTTTGGGCCAGGACCACTGTCTCCTCACACTCCAGGGGAGTAGCTTGGGGGAGCCCTGTGGCTTCCTCTGGGTTGGAGAGGAGCGGCTTTCAAGACGATGATGTCTTTTCTAGACACAACACAGCGTTCACACAGTGACCTGTCAATCACCCCCGCAGAAAGAAGCCCAGCCTCCAAAGCCACCCCAGGCTCAGGAGCACCCTGAAGAGCTCGTCCACCACTCCCACAGCTCCTCCTCCTTTGCCAGTGGCACCCTCCAGGACACGTGGAGGTTGCTAGACCTGGGATCCAGCCCCTCTGGCCTCACCTCCCACGGTGGTGACTCAGCTCCAGGTAGGAGACTGCCCTCCCCCGGAGCTGCCCTTGGCTGGCAGAAGGCGGGGGCCACCCTCCCCGAGGGGCATGTGGAGAGTCAGTGCCGCCTGCTTCCCACACCCTGAAATCCCTGCACTTCGGCTGAGTAAGGCATGGAGGCTCCTTCCCTCTCATTCGGCGCCTGAGGTTTCCCGGGTGATGGGTGAAGCCCTGAAGAGCGCCGCCGTGCCTCGAATCACAGCGCCGTCCACCCGCGTGCGCACGATGCACTGGACTCGGGATGGAGCCCAGTGAGACGTGCGGGTATGGGCGCACTTTTAGACGGCCCTGTTCCTGGGGGAGAGCCGGGCCAGCCCCAGGGGGGCCAGACAGGCGTCAGGTCACATCCTCATCCCGTCCTGCACTCTGCGCAGACGCCGCCGCCCTGAGACTCTTCTCTGTACTTAAGTCACAGGCCCGGCAGACTCAGCAGGTTACAGCGGCAGCTCCTGCTGGTGGTCTCAGGAAGTCTTCAGGAAAATCTATGTGAAGGGTGTACCTTGGGGGGACTGCATGAGACCATGATGTAGTGAGAAGCGTGGAGAGAAGATGCCACTCTGAGGCAGCTGGAGACGTGGCCGTGCGACGCGATCGGGCCGGGAACACGGCTCCGTCCTGCGTTTCTGTCTAGAGGGCGTTCCCTTCTTACCTTACAGCTTCCATCATTCATTTAACCCTCTTTCCGTCGTGTGCCTTTTAGGCTATTACAAATCCTGTGAGAGTGGTGGCCTTGCACGCATGCTGCAGAGTGCGTAGGTGCCCACCGGGGCTGGTCCCATCAGGACCGCGTGCACGCCACGTGTGGTGGCCACGGCTCAGCCTCCCCTGCCCGCCCAGCGACTGCTCCCAGCAGCAGTGAATGAGAGTCACCTGTGGCGGTCGGAGCCTCTCCTGGTGGCTGGCGGGGTTGGAGTGAGCGCTTCTGTCGGGAGCTCGTGCACCTTCACGTGGCTTTCGAGACGCTGCTTTTTCCTGTTCTGCAGTTCTTTGCCCATTTGTACAGAGGGTGGTTGTCTTTCTTACTGATTTGTAGCGGCTCATTACATGTAATACAAATTCGACCTTTTCTGTGACAACAGTTCAAATGTTTTCTCCCAATTCTTCATGTTTTCACATTTTTCTTACAGTGTTTTTTATGTTCATATTTTTATTTTTATGTCATTGAATGTCCTTGTTTTTATCTTTTCTGGGTTTAGGACATCTTTGGCTACCCCAGGCTTATTCCCTTGTTTCTTCTGATTCTGCTGTGGTTTCGTTTTTCTATGATTAATCCTGTGATCCTTTTGGAATTTATCGTGGTGTATGTTATAAAGTAGGACCCACTTCTGTTTTGTTTTGTTTTGTTTTGTTTTGTTTTGTTTGAGGTGAAGTTTCACTCTTTTTGCCCAGGCTGGAGTGCAGTAGCGCCATCTCAGCTCACTGTGACCTCCACCTCCTGGGTTCCAGTGATTTTCTCGCCTCAGCCTCCCGAGGAGCTGGAATCACAGGTACCCACCACCACACCCAGCTAATTTTTGTACTCTTAGTAGAGATGGGGTTTCCCCATGTTGGCCAGGCTGGTCTTGAACTCCTGACCTCAGGTGTGCCTCAGCCTCCCAAAGTGCTGAGATTGCAGGTGTGAGCCACCACGCCCAGATGGAACCACTTCTGATTAACCCCTGATGGCTCCTGAGATGCCCCAACCCCAGTTTTCGATCGCTGATGCTTCCCGGCTTGTTCCAACTCCTGCCTTTGTTACTATGCTAAATGTTCCATGTGCATTTGGGGCTGTATCTGGACTGTTTGTTCAGCCGCTCTCTCAGTCTGTCCACAGGCAGTCCCGTCAGGTCTGAGTCAGTATCACTTCCTGGTCCCTTTGCATGTCTGGCTGATCCAGGATCCCCTCTTTACCCTTCTCTCTCAGAATTTTCTTGTATTGTATTTATATTTTAGTTTTTCTTTCTTTTTAAATTTAGCGGAGAAAAGGCTGGGCATGGTGACTCATGCCTGTAATCCCAGCACTCTGGAAGGCTGAGGCAGGTGGATCAGTTGAGGTCAGGAGTTCAAGACCAGCCTGGCCAACATGGAGAAACCTTGTCTCTACCAAAAATAAAAAAATTTGCTGGGCCTGGTGGTGTGTGCCTGTAATCCCAGCTACTTTGGGAGACTGAGGCACAAGAATCACTTGAACCTGGGAGGTGGAGGTTGCAGGGAGCTGAGATTGCACCATTGCACTCTGGTCTGGGTGATGGAATGAGACTCTGCCTCAAAAAAAACTCATAGAGATGGTGTCTCCCTAAGTGGCTCAGGCTGATCTCAAATTTCTGGGCTCAAGCGATCCTCCTGCCTCAGCCTCCCAAAGTGCTGGGATTGCAGGCACGGCCACCATAATTTTTAGACGCAGCTTGTCTGAGCCTGGTACTCCAGCCTCTCCTCACAAATGCCATTGCAAGTGTTCTGAGGATTGGCACCGCTTCCCTTCTGCCTTAGGAAGGCGTGGGCTTGCGCCACCGGCTTCGGCTCCCGTGTGCTCAGGGCTGCGATGTGTTTCCCTCTGTCTTCCCCGCAGCCGCGTCCTGCTGTCGTCCCGGCCCTCCCACCTGCCCTCCGTAGCTCTCCTTTGTGCTCAGGATTCTTAGGGCACGGCCTCCTTGAGTTTTTAACTCGCAGCAAAACGTTTTGTTTGAATTTTCGTCGACTGGGGGAGGTTCTTCTGGAGACAGCTCATGCTCCTTCCTTTGCCTGTTCGCTTCCCGCTCTCCTCTTGGAGCACTTGTGTTTCTCCGTTCCCCCTCATCTTTTTTTTTGATTTATCTTTCTCGAGGCAGTGCCTCCCTCTGTCACCCAGGCTGAAGTGTGGTGCCGCCGTCTCAGCTCACTGCAGCCTCCGGCTCTTGGGCTCAAGCAGTCCCCTCGCCTCGGCCTCCCAAGTAGCAGGGACCCCAGGCACATGCCACCACACTCAGCTAAGATGTTTTTAGTTTTTTGTAGAGACGAGGTCTCACTATGCTGCCCAGGCTGGTCTCGAACTCCTGGGCTCAAGTGATCCTCTCACCTTACCCTCCCAAAGTGCTGGGATTACAGGCATGAGCCACTGTGCCCAGCCTCATCTTTAAAACAGGTAAATTTTTGCTTGACTAGCTATTTGAAAAAGTTTATATGGAAAATGAAGCCAGAGCCATTTTCCAATCTAGCAGAGTTTCGTTGTTGATTTTAGCTTTAAATACAAGTCTGTACCTATCAGGCTTTTCACAAAGGACAGCTTCTCTCTTCCTTCTCCTAAAGACACTGCATTTTACAAATAAGGCCTGTTCTGTTCCTGGTTCACTCTCCCTCCTCTCTTCCAGGAACTAAACAGGGCCAGGGACGCACTCGCTGCCAGCCCATGTTCTTGCTTCAGAAATAAGGAATCAGGTCCTACCATCAGGGTGTGCCCTCACCTTGAGAAATGCCCTCGCCCTGCCCTTGCTGGCATCTGTAACCGGCATCTCTGTGTGCCTTTCACACAGCTCTTGCTCAGTTCCTGTGGCCTTTGGGAGCCCCCCCACCCCCCCCCCCCAGCTCGTAGTTTTAATGAAAATGAAGTTTGCGTTTTTGCTTTTGGTGGATATTGGAGGAATGCTAACTTCGTGATGCCTTCTTCACGTCTGAAGTCCATCTTGTTTCCTGATCCGTGCAGCCAAAGAAATGCGCCTTCCTCCAAGCGCGGCTTTGCTTTAACCCTGTCTCGTAAATCTCAACATCCTCGTGCTTCCCTCATCTTTCCCTTGGAGGACTTAGAATTCAACTCAGTTTGTTTTCACTTAAATGGAATGTTTCCTGAAGGTTCTACATTTGTGGATTTTTTTTTTTTTTTTTTTTTTTGGTCTGTTGCAGATTTCTAACATTTTTACATTCTGGTCAGAGAATTAAATTACCCTGATGTTAATTCTTCTGAGAGGGAAATATCAGTTCTTAAACTACGATTATCGACTTGTCTGTGTTTGTCAACTTTTGCTTTATGTGTTTGAAGTGCTTTGTTAGGTGCATATATATTTAGTTTTTTTTTCATTCTTGATCTTTTCCTCCCATTCCCAGCATATAACATCCCTTATAACCCTTCATGTTGTATTTCACCAGAAAACCAATTTTGTCTGACATTAAGATTGCTCTAGGCCAGGCACGGTGGTTCACACCTACAATTGCAGCATTTCAGGAGGCTAAAGTGGGAGTATCGCTTGAACCCAGGGGCTCCAGACCAGCCTGGGCAATTTTGTGAGGCATCATCTCAAAAAGAAAAAAAAAGGGCTGGGCGAGGTGGCTGACACCCGTAATCCCAGCACTTTGGGAGACTGAGGCAGGAGGAGTTCTAGGCTGCAGTGAACTGTGATTGAATACTGCACTCCAGCCTGGGTGAGAGAGCAAGACCCTGTCTCTACAAAAAAAAAAGTTATCACGAGGGAAGGAATGGTCAGATTGCGCAGTGGAATGCTGCAAGTAGGTCCAGTGAGGTCAGGACAGAGAGGCAAAGTGAAGGTCACTGGTGGTCTTCAGTGTGGTCTCAGTGGAGGGCTGGAATTGTCATTCAGTCCTTCCTAGGAGGAGAGAGTGGGATGGACAACGTATCCAAGAAACTTCGCTCTGAAAAGCAGCAGTGAAAAGGGCTCATATTTGGGGAGTATGTGGAGTCAAGAGGGGAGGCTCAGGAGCCTGCCAGTGGGCGGTGGGAGAGGGGGGTGACTCAGGAGAGAACTCCCAGAGGAGGCAGGGGATGGGGCTCGGTGCCTGTTGCAGGGTTGGCCTTTGACAGGACAGAGGCAGAGGTGGCCTCCGAAGCCAGGAGGTTGATGGTGGCCAGCGCTCTGCACTTGCCCTGCCTGCAAGCTGACAAAGCCTGGCAGGAGACAGGAGACCCCTGGGTCAGAGACCAAGGGCTCTGTCCACATAGCAGGTGGCTGAGCAGGCAGCGGCTGCAGGTGCACTGGGCGTGAGTCTGAGCTGAGGAAGCCAGGCCTGGGGAC